CCCCTGCTCGTTCAGCCAGCACAGCTTCACTTTCTGCCTTCACTGAGGGGTTTTTATTCACCAAATGCTCCCCAGTGGGTTTTTCTCCTAATAAACCCCCCAAAGCTGCCCGAGGTCGGCTGTGCTGCTGCTCTGCCTCAGAAAGAGCCTTCGGAAGCACCTCCTCAGCTTCCTTTTACTTTCCTGAAAAATTAAAAGCTCTTTGACTCCCTGGCTCATTGCTGCTGCTGCCTCCAACTCTTTGATGTGTTAACTGTTGTCCTTCACACTCCTGGGATAAAGAATTACTACTACCTTAATCTCCAACTGTCAATAGCTCTGAAGCAAAGTACATTCATTGTAAGCTCTCCAAATGTCAGAGCAAACCCGTGTTATGTGTTTAGCCTTAGCATTTGGCATTTACTCTTCCAGCTAACAAGTATGCACAGTCCTTGGGCTCCAGACACCAAAGTGCATGTTAATTAGCAGAGTGACAGGGCTCCTGCTCGGAGCTGGGCCAGCTCTCGGGATGTTTCTATTCAGGATAATGATGAAACCTCCTCTGCAGTTTGGCATGAGCAGAATGAGAAATCTGATTTTTTTTAATACCTTCCGTAAAATTTAGTCTCACCCATCCTTCCTGTCCTTGTGCATTGTATTAAAAAACAACAACAAAAAACTTCAAAAAAACCCTTCATTCATCCTCAAACTTTTCTCTCTCTTTTTTTTTTTTACATTTCTGTGATAAAGGTTACCCGAATTTTGTTGCAACATATGGCCGAGGATATCCTGGATTTGCCCCAAGTTACAGTTATCAGTTCCCAGGTACGTACGTTTCATTTGCAGATTTGCTTTATTTCCCCTCTTTCCTTCTTTTTTTTTTTTGTTTCTTTTCCTTTTTTATTAAGTCTGTAGCTGCAAGCTGAGACMGGCAAGTCTGCAGGGAGCATCTCACACAACAGCAATTTTTTTTTAAGCTATTTTAAAACAGAGATTTACAGAGATACTTTAAAGACATTCTTCGTAGCGTATAAATTGGTACTGGTTATTTGAAAGCAAATTTCTTAAATTAAAACCTAAAAGCAAGAGAGATGATGGAAGAGCTGTTGGCCTCCCTTTGATGGGTTTTTCCTTCCGTAGATATTGTAGAGCTGCACACAAACACTCACACAGTGCTGGTCTGTGGTAAATGAGTGCAGAGTCCACTCTGGCCGTGCCCATGTGGGCTCTGGTCACCCCTGCCCGTGGGCAGCTCTGTGCCAATGCTGAGGTTGGCATGGGTTTGGTGCCCCCTTCCCCAGGAGCTGCTGCTGCTGTGCTGGGATGGGCTCAGGGGCTCAGTGGGGTCAGGGCAAGCACATTGTGGAGATACAGGGTAGAGTGGTGAGGGCTGGGAGGGTTCAACTCTGTCCTGAGAGGGGACACCTTGACCAGAGCCTGTCCTGAGAGGGGACACCTTCACCAGACCCTGTCCTGAGAGGGGACACCTTCACCTGAGCCTGTCCTGAGAGGGGACACCTTCACCAGAGGGAATGTCCTGAGAGGGGACACTTTCACCAGAGCCTGTCCTGAGAGGGGACGCCTTCACTGGAGCCCATCCTGCAGTGAGCAGGGACACCTTCCACCTTCCACCTTCACGAGAGCCCCATCCTGTCCTGGGAGGGGAACCTTCACCAGAGCCCATCCTGCAGTGAGCAGGGACACCTTCCACTTTCCACCTTCACCAGAGCCCATCCTGCAGTGAGCAGGGACACCTTCCACCTTCACCAGAGCACTTCACCACCTTCCCCAGAGCCCTGTCCTGCCCTGAGCAGGGATACATTCCATCTTCCACCTTCCACCTTCAGCAGAGCCCCGTCCTGCCCTGAGCAGGAACACCTTCCACTTTCCACTTTCCACCTTCCACCTTCACCAGAGCCTGTCGTGCCCTGAGTGGGGACCCCTTCCACCTTCCATCTTCCACCTTCCACCGTCACAAGAGCCCCATCCTGCCCTGAGCAGGGACACATTCCACCTTCTACCTTCCACCTTCACCAGAGCCCATCCTGCAGTGAGTGGGGACACCTTCCACCTTCACCAGAGCATTTCACCACCTTCCACCAGAACCCCATCCTGCCCTGAGCAGGGACAGCTTCACCAGAGCCCTGTCCTGCCCTGAGCAGGGACACTTTCCACCTTCCACTTTCCATTTTCCACCTTCCACTTTCCTCCTTGTCCAGAGCCCCGTCCAGCCTGGCCTTGGGCACTTCCAGGGATGGGGCATCCAGCACATCCATCCAAACCCATTGCCTTTTCAGCACATGCTGCAGTGGGGCTGACACCACACAGGACAGGGCGTTTCCTTCTCTCCAGGGGGGTTTGGAACAAGCCAAGGTGGTTGTTGTCACCTGTAGGATGAGCAGTGTCCCTGTGATGGGTGTTGGTTTTTTTCAGGATTGATAACCCCGAGGGGAACAGCGCTGTGAGAGTTTTTGTTTGTTTGAATTCAAAAATGCCAGGGCTCTGCTGAAACAGAGCCAGCTCCAAATGAGGGGTCAGGCAGACAGGGGAGATGCCAGGGTGACACGGTGGGGACAGCAGGTGACATCAGCTGTGATTCCGTGGAATTTGGGGGAGATGCGTTGTGTCAGGATTGCAGCAGGTGTGTGTGTGCTTTCCACACTCTGACTCTCGTGATTCTGTGTATCAGTTGTTTCATATGAAGGCATTGAAGAAGGAGAGGCACCTTTGATGGGGTTAATGATGGAAATGGGCAGAGCTTAGATGAGTTTAATTACAAATACGTCTGAAGCGAACGTGTCTGCACACTGACAGCAAAGGCACCCTTTGACTCGACCCCTCCTTAGATGTATTTTTATTAAGGGCCTGTTTTTATCAAAGCAGGACTTCCAGTTTCTACCTGGTTATTTCCAGTCTCCTGCAGAGACTGAGTATGGAAAATAAATCCATGTGGATTGTGGGGCTGGGAAGTGCCGGGAGATGCTCAGGGCCTGTCTCACCTTGTTGAGCTTCCCTGCCCCAAAGCTCTGCCCCAAAGCTGTGCCCCTGCTCCCCTCCTGCTCAGATCAGTGACTTTTCAGCAACAATCAGAACCTTTTTAGAGTTGTTGACAGTTTCTGAGATGATTTGGGGCTCTGCTCTCTGGAATCACAGCCTGTGGGGTGCAGGGTCTGCGGGGTGGAGGTGCGGGGTGAGGAGCAGTCCAGCAGCACCCCGGGGTGTCCCCTGGCTGGGGCAGTGTTGGGGATGGGGACAGTGGGATGGGGACAGTGCCACAGAGCCCAGCTCGGGGTCAGGGAGCGTTTCAGGAGCACCCCGTGGTGTCCCCTGGCTGGAGCAGAGTTTGGGATGGGGACAGTGGGATGGGGACAGTGGGATGGGGACAGTGCCACAGAGCCCAGCTCGGGGTGTTTCAGGATCACCCCGAGGTGTCCCTTGGCTGGAGCAGTGTGTGGCATGGGGACAGTGGGATGGGGACAGTGCCCCAGAGCCCAGCTCAGGGTGTTTCAGGAGCACCCTGGGGTGTCCCCTGGCTGGAGCAGTGTTGGGGATGGGGACAGTGGGATGGGGACAGTGTCACAGAGCCCAGCTCGGGGCCTTTCAGGAGCAGGGCAGTGTTGAGGACGGGGTGTGCCAGTGCTTCCTTGGGTGTGTTTGGGCACTCGGTGAGCCCATGGCAGGGTTTGGAGTGTGAGACGGGTGTGTGCAGCTGAAGGGAGGAGTGTGAAATGTGCTTTTTTAGTGAATTGTCAGGGTTAGAATCTCTGAGTGGTGATTTGGAGGGAGAAGTGCTGGGCTGTTTGTGCAGGAGCGTCCCAGCCCCGAGTGCCCCGTGGAACTGCCTCGGTACAGAAACACAGAGCAGTGTCACACACACAGAGCAGTGTCACACAGAGCAGTGTCAGCCATGTGTGGGGCTGGGCTCTGAGCTGTGCTGGACACGTGTGTGACACATGTGACACGGCAGAGCTGCGTGTGACATGGCACAGCCACATGTGACATGTGTGACATGGCACAGGTGCATGTGACATGGCACAGCTCTGTGTGACACATGTGACACAGCACAGCCACGTGTGACAGTACAGCCGCGTGTGACATGGCACAGCTGCGTGTGACATGTGTGACATGGCACAGACGCATGTGACACAGCACAGCCACGTGTGATACTGCAGAGCCACGTGTGACACATGTGACACCACACAGCCACATGTGACATGGCACAGCCACATGTGACACATATGACACAGCACAGCCATGTATGACACATGTGACACGGCACGGCTGCATGTGACATGGCACAGCTGCGTGTGACACATGTTACACAGCATGGCCACCTGTGACACAGCACAGCCACCTATGACATGGCACAGCCACGTGTGACATGTGTGACATGGCACAGCCATGTGTGTCACAGCATAGCTATTGTGACACGTGTGACACATGTGACACCACACAGCCACGTGACACAGCACAGCCACATATGACACGGCACAGCCACGTGTGACACGTGTGACACAGCACAGCCACGTGTGACACGGCACAGCCATGTGTGTCACAGCACAGCCACATGTCACAGCACGGCACGTGTGACAGCACAGCCTCGTGTGACACATGTGTCACAGCCCAGCCATGTGTGTCACAGCCCAGCCGTGTCCCCCTGCCGTGCCCACTCTCTGTCACTCTCTGGCCCTGGTGGCCGGGCTGTCACCCCCAGGGCTGTCACCCCCAGGGCTGGCACAGCGCTGGCTCTGCCCAGGTTGTCCCTGCTGTAGTAAATTAAAGCAGAGAAAGAAACCCCTCCTGCCTGACCTGTCCTGATGGCATTTCCTGTCCCAGTGAAATCAGGTACAAATGCCACAACCCCGTTTGCATTCCTGTTCCTGTGTGTGTTGGAGCTGTG